CTAAAGTCAAACGAATGCCATCCAACGCAATCAATTGCAATCAATTGCAATTGCAATTTATTGCAATAAATTGCAATCAATTGAAATAAATTGCAATTGCAATAAATTGCAATAAATTGAAATAAATTGCAATCAATTGCAATCAATTGCAATCAATTGCAATCAATTGCAATTGCAATTTATTGCAATAAATTGCAATCAATTGCAATTTATTGCAATAAATTGCAATCAATTGCAATCAATTGCAATAAATTGCAATAAATTGCAATAAATTGCAATTTCGCAGTCTCGAGGCGCCTTCATGCTTCGCAGCTGCCCTTCGGGTCCTTCTCCTCCGGCATCCGCTTCGCCCCACACAACGAGCTGGACATACACCCCACAGCGACGCCTGCACGTACACCCCAGCCCAACTCTCCTCGCCATCCATCCATGCATGCATGCAACTGCATGCAACTTCGTGCATGCATGCACATATATCCATGCACATGCATGCATGCAAGTGCATGCAAAAGGGTGGGACGAAGGCGCTCTTGGACTCCACAATTCACTGCTGCTGCTGCTCCGAGGCCGTCGCCCTGCTGCAGCGTGAGGACGCGCAGCAACAAACAACAACAGCAACAGCAACAGCAGCAGCAGCAAATTCTGGAGGAGTTGGATATTGTAAATTTTAATTACTCCCCCGATCCGTTAAAGTCTTGAGGCATCCCGCAAACGCTGCAGCACAGGATGCGTGGCGGCTCTGTCCATCTGTACTGGAAGGGGGACTCATCTGCTGCTGCTGCTGCTGCAGCAGCAGCAGCAGCAGCAGCAGCGGGAGGAGGGGATCGGGCGAGCGTACAAGGCGCGAGGGAAGAGGCCAGAGCCTGCTGCTGCTGTTGCTGCTGCAGCAGCAGCACAGCATCTGCGTCTTTGTGCGTTGTTTCAGTCGGGAAAGGGCTGCTGCGATAACAGCAGCAGCAACAGCTGCTGCTGCTGCTGTTGTTGCTGCTGCTGCTGGAAGTGTTTCTCCTAGTTTGTCTCCTTTGGAAAGAAGCCAGATTAAGAGGGATGGGGATGAAGCCGGTGTAAGTAGCTTTTGCTGCTGCTGCGGCTGCGGCTGTGGCAGCAGCAGCAAACAGCAGCTGGCCCGAAGGGAGACAAGCAAGACCAAGCCAGCCACAGCCACAGCAGCTGCTGCAGCAGCAGGAGCTGCTGCTGCTGCCGCTGCTGTTTCAGCTGCTGCAGATTGTGTGACTGCAGTGATGCTGGTGCTGCTGCTTCAGCCGTGGCTGCTGCTGCCACAGCCACAACAGCAGCAGCAGCAGCACCAGTGTCAACAGCAGCAGCAGCAGCAGCAGCAGCTGCAGCAGCTGTTTGCTGCTGCAGCCTCTCTTAACTTTTCTGTTTTGGGCTGAGCTCAGGGCCGCTGGGCCGAGAGAAAGTTTTTAGACTCAAAACACTAAAATGCACTTTTCGACTTTTAGGGCCAATTCGAATTTTCATTTCTTTTATGAATTCATTTTTGACTCCAAATTGCAATTTAAATTAGAATTTAAATTGCAATTTAAATCCTAGCTTAAATTGCAATTTAAATTCTATCTTAAATTGCAATTTGAACCCTAAATTGCAATTTAAATTAGAATTCAAATTGCAGTTGGAATTTGAGTTGCAGATGCAATTTAAATTCTAATTTGAATTGCAATTTAAATTCTAATTTAAATTGCAACTTAAATTCTAATTCTAATTGCAATTTAAATTGCAATTGGAATTAGAATTGGAGTTTTAATTTTAATTTAATTGAAACGCCATTTATTCGATTGGCAGTGGCGGCAGCTTCGTAGCTGCTGAGGTGTACGTACATACAGCAGATATCTGCAAATAGAAATTAAAAAGGGCTTCATTGTGCAAACAAATAAAACGCAAATGTCTGAAATGGTAAAAGGCGATTATTTAATTAATTGGATTTATTTAATTTATTTAATTTGTTTAATGTTTGGATTAATTCAATTCAGCAGATTAATTATTTAATTTAGAAAATGGAACAGAGATGAAACTTGAGAAGTTAATTATTGTTTAATTAATTCAATTAAAGGACTTTAATGATTAATATTAAGACAGCTAATTAAATTAAATTAAAATTGAGAAAATGAATTAGGTGAATTCAAGTGCAGCAAATGCAGGTGTCCAGACAGCAGAAAACGAATTAAAAAATGAAGAAGCAGCAGCTCAGTCGTCGAAACTAAAAGTGTTAATTTCATTTATTTATTTCGATTTTATATAGTTACAACTAAATCCTTTCAACACTCGCTCTTCTTTTAACACAGCAGCAACAGCAGCAGCAGCTGCTGCTGCTGCTGCTGCTGTTGTGAACAGACACCCCAAGTGTGAGACTCATGGCATGCGGGGGCCCCTGGCAGCCCCAGACAAGAAGTTGGGTTAAAATTTAAATTAAAAGTGTTTTTAATTTCTTTCCGGAGTTTAATTTCATTTTATTTCCTTAATTTCCGCGAAAGACGCACTTCTGCTGCTGCTGCGCGTCTTGGCCTAAGCAGCCACGGGGGTTGCTGCTGCTGCTGCTGCTGCTGCTGCTGCTGCTGCTGCCAGCCTTCAAACTTGTCTTTTTATAAAAGTGTTTAGTTTTGAGTGCGGCGATTTCTGTTTCCTCTCTCTTTTCAGGTGTACGTACACCTGAAGGTCGAGCGCCTGCTCCTGGCCGATTTGTCCTGCGAAGAGCTCTTTGGCAGCAAATTGCCGGAAAAGGACTTAAATTGATTATTTTAATTGATTTAATTCATTTAATTGACTTATTTAATTAGTTAATTTGTTTTTTTAGCGCCAAAAAGCAAAAAGCGCGCCCGCCCGCCGGTCCTTCTCAACCGCAGGGGCTCGGGTGTACGTACACCTCAAGGCCCTGTCTTCTTGCTGCTCGCTCGCCGCCCGCCCGCAGCAGCAAAGCGCCTTTAAATGCTGCTGCTGCAGCAAGGGCCCCGACTCCACCTGCAGCAGCTCACAGCAGCAGCAGCAGCAACAGCAGCAGCAGCAGCAGCAGCAAAAAAGGCTTTCTGACAGCAAGCTACGGACACTCTTTAAAAATGAACTCGGGACTTCGGGGCCGTCTGCTGATGAATGGGGCTGGGGGAGGTGTAGATACACCTGGAGGGTTAGACTGCGGCAGCAGCAGCAGCAGCTGCAGCAGCAGCGGCAGCAGCGGCAGCTTGCTGCGGCTGTCGCTGCTGCAGCAGCAGCAGCTGCTGACGCAGAATTTGACTTTGTCTGCTGCTCTTGAAGTTGCAGTGGAGGGGGAGGGGAGGGTCTGCTCGGTGCTGCAGCAGCAGCAGCTGCTGCTGCAGCGCGCTGCAGCAGCAGCAGCAGCAGCAGCAAAGCAGCAGACTCAAGTCAAAACTGAACTGCAGAATGCCAAAAGCGAAGCTGCTGCTGCTGCTGCTGCTCTCGAGGAGGAAAGGCGCAGCAGCAAAAGAGCAGCAGAAGAGGCCCAGGCAGAGATACAGGTTCGTCGCTGCAGCAGCAACATTTATTTTCTATCACAATTGATTAAATAATTAATTAGTTAATTAACTTCAATTAATTAATTAATTAATTAATTAATTAATTTATTCATTTATTAGTTGATTAATTTAATTCAACTAACTAGTTTTAACTTCAAAATTTGCTGTATATACCGGTTTCGCATTAGCAACAAATAAATAAATGAATAAATAAATAAATAAATAAATAAATAATTTTGGGTTTTGCTGCTGCAGCGGCTGCGCTGCCACACAGAGCAGCTGAAGGAGCAGCAGCAGACACTGGAGACGCAGCTGGCAGCAGCAGCAACAGCAAGAGAGCAGCAGCAGCAGCAGCTGCAGCAGCAGCTGCAGCAGCTCAAAAAGGAGAAGGAAGAAGCAAACGAAACTGCGCAGCAGCAGCTGCAGCAACAAGCCGCAGACATTTCCACACTGGTGGGCAGCAGCAGCAGCTGCAGCAGCAGTGCAGCAGCAGCTACAGCAGCAGTGCTTCAGCAGCAGCAGCTGCAGCAGCTGCTGCTGGTCTTTACCCGCTACCCCAAGACAACTTTACCTGCACTTACATGTGTACATTTGTTTTATATTTTTGCTGCTTTCCCCATTTCTTTGCAAATGCGTGCATGCATGCATTTGCATGCATGCATTTACATGCATGCATGCATGCAAATGCATGCATGCATGCATGCGAGTGCATGCATGCAGGTCCTTGTTAGTGTTAAATGTTCATTTTGATTATTTTAGTCAGGTTGTTTTTCTTCGTTTTGTTGTCCTTTTTCGATTTGTTTTTCAATTCATTTTCTTTCATTTAATTTGTTTTTTTTTGTTTCATTTGATTTGCTAATTTATTTTTCAGAATTGAAAAAAGAATTAGAAAAATTAAAAGAATTAATTGATCCCTGAGCTGCTTTTTTTCTAGTTTTGCTGCTGCTGCGCATGTGCTGCAGCAGCAGCAAGTTGCTGCGCTGCAGCAGCAGCTTTCGGTGAGCCAGGCGGAAGTGTCTGTACACCTGGAGGCAGCAGCAGCGGCGCAGCAGCAGCAAGCAGCAGCAGCAGCTGCTGCTGCGGATTTGAAAGACAAATTAAAAGAAAGGGAAATCTTTTTGGAGGCACAGCTAGCTGACAAAGACCTTTCTTTCCAGCAGCAGCTGCAGCAGCAGCAGCAGGAACTGCAGCAACAGCAGCAGCTGCTGCAAAAGCAGCAGCAGCAGCAGGTGCAGCAGCTGCAGCAGCAGCTGCAGGAGCAGCAGCACCAGCAACAGCAGCTGCAGCAGCAACTGAAGCTGCAGCAGCAGGAACTGCAGCAGCAGCAGCAACTGAACCACCAGCAGCAGCAAGAGCTGCAGCAGCAGCTACAGCGGCAGCAGCAGGAGCTGCAGCAGCAGCAGCAACAGCATCAACAGCAGCAGCAGGACCTACAGCAGCAGCTGCAGCAGAAGGAGGGAGAGATAGCTAGGATGCTGCAGGAGGCCGACAGCAGCAATCAGCAGCAGCGGGAAAAGCAGAAGAAAGAAGAGGAGCAGCGTCAGGCTGCTTTGCTGCAGCAGCAGCAGCAGTACGATGCTTTGCTGCAGCAGCATCAGGCAGAGGCTGCAGCAGCAGCAGCAGCCCTGCAGAAGGAAATAGCCGAACAGAAGGAACTGACTGAAAAGCAGCTGAGGAGGATCAAAGACCTTGAAGCAGCAGCAGCAGCAGATGCAGCAGCGGCAGCAGCAGCAGCAGCAGCAGCAGAAGCGGCGGGAAAAGAGAAGGCGGAAGCAGCGAAAGAGCAGCAAACAGCAGCAGCAGCAGCAGCAGCGGAGAAGGAGAAGGCGCAGCAGCTGCAGCTGCAGCTGCAGCAGAGGGAAGCCGAGCTGCTGCAGTTGCAGCAACAGGCGCAGCAGCAGCAGCAGCAGCAGCAGCAGCAGCAAGACCGGCTGCTGGCCGAGGCCCTGAGCCGCTGGGAGGAAGAGAAGCAGCAGCATTTGAAAGATGGAGACAAATATAAAATAAAAATAAATGAATTAGAATTAGAAAACGAAAGGCTGCAGCAGCAGTTGCAGCAGGCTGCGAGCCAGCTAGCAGCAGCAGCAGCAGCAGCGCAGCAGCAGCAGCAGCAGCTGGCCGAGGCCAGGCAGCAGCAGCAGCAAAGCGAAGCAAAGCTCAAAAGCATCACACAAGAAGTCAATGCCCTCAGCAGCATCAAGAAGCAAATGCAGGAAGAGCAGCAGCAAGTCGAGTGGGCTGCTGCAGCGCATGCAGGCAAAGCCACAAACAGCAGCAGCAGCAGCAGCAGCAGCTACTGGAGCAGCAGCAGCAGCAGCGCGGAAGAACTCGGCAGCCCCAAAGCAGCAGCAAGCGCATGCACTGCAGCCAGGGCCCGCAGGGCCAGGCCTTCTCACACCAGCAGCAGCAGCAGCAGCAGCAGCAGCAGCTTGTGCGAAGAGGACATGCAGGTGGAGGAGGAAGGGCAGGGAGGCGTCTATACACCTGAAGGCCATGCTGATGGCGCCAAAACTTTTATTCGACGACACTCTTTGCGTTTAAAAAAACAAAAATCAAAATTAAAAACAGAAAGTGATTTCGAAGCAAAAGCAGACCCTGCTGCTGCTCACGGGGCAGCAGCGGCTGCAGCAGCAGCAGCAGCAACAGCAGCGGCTGCTGCTGCGCCCCACAGGGCCGGGGAACAACACAGAAAGAAGTGAAGGCCCACTCAACTTCTGCTGCTCTTTTGTTTTATTTTTATTTATTTGTT